GCTTCCCAAAGGCATCTCAAGTATTCCCCCTGCTCCCGGTGCCCGTAAAGCCACGGCCGGAGCCCTTTCTTCCCCGTTTTGGATGCTGGGTTTGGAGGAAGATGTGGGCCAATAGCAGAGAATGCAGGGAGAGCGGTCAGAGGGCTGGAAACCCTGAGGAATGAGAAAAGCTCGAAAGGACCCGGGATTGTTTAGTCTAGGAAAGAGTGAGCTGAGCAAGGGGGTGGATATGAAAAGCTTTCAAAGACATAAAAGGCTGCTGCTAAAAGTGAGGGAATGATCTGTTCTTAGTAGCTACTAGGAAGAAGATAACGAGTCATAGGCTGAGCAAGGAAATGTAGTCATTGGGGAAAACTTAGATAAGTGAAAGGCTGATGAAGCACTGAAACCTCTGGTGAGTGTGGGGTTGGTGCCAGGAAGCCCTCAGAGCACCCATCTCCGGGTGGGTGGGAGAGGAACTGGCGGGATGCGCTGTGAGACCTTTGTAGCCCTCTTCTCCTACCGCTGGAAGATCATTTTCCAAAGCGTGGGTGATGAAGTCTGCCTCTCAGAGGTGGGCATGTGTTTCCCAGACGCTGCTGACCTTCATGTTAGGAGACAGCTGGGATTAGGTGTGACAGTGACAGTTCACCATCGGTACGGCAGCGGCTCTCCCAGGGCCTGGCTGGGCTGCGGGCTCGCACTGGGATGGAAAGGAGCTTCGTAGTTAGGGACAGGAACACGGAGTGTGTTCACCTATGGTGGGACAACGAGGAGCCCTGGGCTCTCTGTCTGTCCCTCTGGGGTGATGCACAGGCATGGTCCTTGTCTTGAAGGCACCTGAAGGCACTAGGTGGGCCCCGGGGAGTCCCCCAGCCCGGGCAGAGCTCACCAACAGGCTTATTTGCTGGTTCGGTGGCTGATTCCAGCCGTGCTTCTTAATGGTGGAAAGTGAGAGCATGTCTTTGTGTCCTAAATAGGCGATTGTCCTGATTCTCATCCCCGGGATCCATTATGTCTTAGCAAATTACTTTCTCTCTTTTAAATGCCTTAGTGATTAAAGATGCCACAGCAGATACCCTTAATGAGTACAAAAAGGGTAATAATTCCTCTTGTTGGCACTGAATGCAATTAATCAGGCCCCTTTACTTGCTTTTTAAACAGATGAGGCATTTAAGGCCAAGCAAGTTTTTAATTGGACTTTAATGTTTCTCATTTACTTCATTTTGGCACCAGCGTAGGAATTCCCACCCCCAGGTTTGCTGTTGGATTTATTCAGGGTGATGAAAGGCTCAGCGCGGAGTGAAGCCTCAGCAACAGACTCCAACATGTCCTTCAGCATGTGCCCGGCCCGGGCTTGGTCCTGCTTCAAGCAGCACAGAATTGGCCAAACAGGAGCAGAGCCAGGTTGTTCAGCCCAGGACCCTCCTCCAGCGTGTGGCTGACACCAGATATTAGCAGTATTTTTGGAGCAGTCATCAACACAAGGGTGTGACGCAGCCTGCCCTGCTTCGTTAGGTTCCCTTGCCTTGAAGGGACCGTTGACTTGCAAGTATCCTTGTGGCTATCCAGAAGCCTTTGATGGAGGTCCATCAACCTAGACTCTGTAGCTTCAAACGTGGGGTGAATTGTATCTTTTAAGGGATGTTCCTGAGATCCGTGGCCAAGAGAAGAGGCCTTGTGCATGTGAAGGTCATTAATTTATGCCAGGAATTCCCAAAAGATGTGTGAGGACCGACCTTCACCTGTTCTGCAGTCCCCTCTGTGGAGAGGCCTTGAGCACTCTTACAGATGGATGTGTGCATGCAAAGGTCGTTAATTTATGCCAGGAATTCCCATGGGAGAAAATATGTGTGAGGACTGACCTTCACCTGTTCTGCAGTCCCCTCTGTGAAGCCCATCACTGCCTCTGCTCTCACCCCTGGCCACCAACCACCTTGCCTTTGGTTCCTTTTGCTCATGGATGTCCTCCGCTCTGGTTTGGGGATGGCGGTTGCCCGTCAGCGTGTCCCGGGCTGTGTTTCGTGCGGGGACGTGTGCTGGAGCCCAACCCCTGCCCCAACCCAGCTCTTCCCAAGGTTCAGTCGAAAAGACACCAGTCTCGACGTGTGCGAGCCTGCCTGAACCTGCTTTGTTGCTCTGTCTGTGGGGCAGGGATACCTCCAGCAGCCAGGAGAGATCCTGAAATGGCTTCAAGTGGGTTTTCCAGGTGTGTGCTCTGCCTTTTTGCAGGGTCTGTAGAGCAGCGGCCTGAGGCTCCCACCCACGAAGGCCTGGCAGATGGCAGGTTTGCTGTGAGTGTGCTTCAACAGGTGAGATGGTTCTTAGGCCATCAGGGTTTTTTGCACCCAAAACCATTTAGGAGACATCTAGGGACAATGGGACCCCCTAATTTCTACACTCCTCCTTCTCCCACTTCAAAGGGAGGCAGAATTGTAAGCACAAGTGAGTCTGGAAAGTTAAGTTCTGGGCTCCCCAGTTCCAGAAGGACAGGGAACTGCTGGAGAGGGGACAGCAGAGGGCTACAAGGATGATGAGGGGCTTGGAGCTTCTCCCTTCCGAGGAGAGGCTGAGGGACTTGGGTCTTTTGAGTCTGGAGAAGAGAAGGCTGAGGGGGGATCTGATCAACGCCTATAAATACTTCAAGGGTGGGTGTCAAGAGGAACGGGACGGTCTTTTTTCAGTGGTGCCCAGGGATAGGACAAGAGGAAATGGGCACAAACTTGAGTATAAGGAGTTCCACCTAAAGATGAGGAGGAACTTCTTTGCTGTGAGGGTGGCAGAGCCCTGGCAGAGGCTGCCCAGGGAGGTGGTGGAGTCTCCTTCTCTGGAGACATTCAAACCCACCTGGACACGTTCCTGTGGGACCTGCTCTGGGTGGCCCTGCTCTGGCAGGGGGTTGGAGGAGATGATCTCCAGAGGTCCCTTCCAACCCCATGTCATTCTGTGATTCTGTGAAGCGCATTCAGAGAAATAAGTTCTTGAATACCTTGTGTTAATTTAAACACCTTCTGCCTGCCAGGCTGGGGGGCGAGGAGCGTTGCCAGCTGGATCAGCCGTAGCCCTTCTCTAGATCTGTCTCAGAGCATCTTTACTTTAAGTCCCTCCCTAAAACCCGAGGTCTCCCGGTGCAGCGTAAGCAAATATCAGGCAGGAGGAGCAGGCCCTGCCTTCCAGGCTGGGCAGGGACTGCCACAGGGCACGCTTGCCCAATATTTTCTTCGGTTTTGCCTTCTTACTTGTCCTGTCTCCTCTCCTCCCACTCCCTTGCATCTGATACTGGGTTTGGTGGTTGTGCAAGGCTCACATGAAGTCGTGGATGGATAGCCAGGTGTGGGAACCGAATCGCTCCGGTTTTATCTTCTGCCGAGACCATCTTTGCACATTTTGCCCCCCTCCCTTTCACCATTTTTCCAGCTGCTGGCAGATAAGGATACTAGGAGCCATCATGTCATGAAAAATAAGAGAGAATCGCAGGTTGAATGAGGATCAAGGGTTTATTGTGTGATCGTGATGAGACGTTCAGGGCTGAAGGAGAATAAAAGAGCATCCAGCTTGCTCTGTGTCCCCGCAGAGTGACCAGCGTGGGCTGTTGGCACGTTCTCCAGCAGTGGGCAGGGACTGAAAGAAAAAAGAGGGTATTTCTGCTCCTCTGGCTGGGCAGTATGAGGAAGGGCAGGCAGCTTTGTCCTGCCAAGATGCCCTTAATCCAGGGTTGGTAGCCCAAATGTATCTATGTCAGGAAGCTGCAACCCCAAGAGACCATCCCAGCCATTCTTGCATTGAGAATCTTCTGACTGAGGCTTACAAAGATGTTCTTTTCTTTGATCTAATTCCATATAAACTGCGGAATTATTTTCCTTTAGAGGCTTGCAAATTATGGAAGCATAAACCATGCTAACGATGCGATAAGGACAGCTTTGGATGCGTTCCCCAGAGCGGCTACCCCTGGGCAGGAGAGATGGGAGAGCCGTCTGCCGAGCTCACCTGGCTGCCTTCCTTGGCCCCCTACCTCCTCCCCCCTCTGCCCCCCTCCCCGTTCCCCAAATTCCTCCATCTCTCAGGAACGAGAATCATTTCCTCTCCGGCTTCTTGCAGAGGCAAAGGCCCTGCAGACCTGAAGTTATCTCTGGAATGTGTGTAAACACCAGAGTTCAATGGGATGCTGTTTGCTCCCCTCTCCTTGGGAGGGGGTGGGTTTAAGAAGGGGTTAATAGGAGTTTGTTTTACGGGTTCCTAGCCCTGAGAATTGTTCTTCCTCGGAGGGCAACCCGGCTGACCCCGCTGCCTCTGTGTGCATTTCCCAGCACAAAAGGGGAGACGCGGGGGCCCCGCCACGCTGGTGGGATTTCGGTCCTCTAAGAAGAAGGAGATGAAAGACCAAGGTGGTTCCTCCTGCTGAACGGGGTGGGAAATGAGCCTTAGGTTCCGAGTAAGGAGCAGCAGTTCCACCAGGACCTCAAGCTAGACCAAATCCATTTGAGAACAGGCGTGTCGACACCAGCGAAACGGTTAATTCCTAGATGTGTTGTCAGCGCTGGTGACGCACTAAGCCTGGATCCCTTCCAGAAAACAACACTTTAAACCGGAGACAAAGAACCGGGCTTAGCACAGAGGTGATCAGTGGAATGGCTTGGCCTGGGTATATACAAGGGGTCAAACTGGATGATTTAATGATCTCTTTTGGCCTGAAAGCTTTCTGTTCTCTTCAGAAGATAAATGAAAAAGCCCTTTCACACACACATGCACACACAAAAAAAAAAAAAAAAAAAAAAAAAAAAAAGGGACAACTTGAGATATGTGTGTAATGAACTCTGCTGCTTCCCAGGGAACGGCGGAGCAGGATCTGCGGGAAGTGTGACCTTGCAGGCTGCCTGGAGTTGGTGGCCATCTGTTGAGTGGAGGTGGCTCGCCACCAGCAAGGCCCCCGCTCTCCTGACGTTTCTCAGCTCTGTTTTTCACCGCTCGCTTGACGCCCTCTCCCCACATCTGAGTAACGTTCCCTTCCTTCTCTCCGTCAGGGTGAAGAGGCCGAGCGGCATGAGCAGCCTCCTGGGGAAGATCGGCTCCAAAAAGCAGAAGATGAGCACGCTGGAGAAATCTAAACTGGACTGGGAGAACTTCAAGGAGGAGGAGGGGATTGTGGAGGAGCTGGCGATCCATAACCGAGGCAAAGACGGGTAAGGGGGACTTTACCTGGTAGTAGCCCACCACTTCCTATACGTGTAGGAACTCCATCACCTGCTGCAGAGTCCAGCAAACCCCTGGCATTTCTTCAGGATTTATTCCAGGGACACATAAAGCCGGTGGCTGCTGTAGGTACCACAGGGGGACAGGTAGGTCTGCAAGCACCTACTGCTCTCCGCTAACAACCTCATGAGCTCTTCAAGGCCAGCTCAAGTAGAGTCTGGCTGGGCTTTATTTTCCCTCCTGTCCTAATTAGACCCTCCCGGTCTAATGCTGCGCTCCCATGAGGAAACCCAATTGCCTTTGACCTGTTTGTTGGGTTTTGTTTTTTTTTAAAAAAAAAAAACTTTCAAATTGGGAGGTATGTTTTTTGTTCCGTTCTTCAAATGACATGTTCCAGCTGCCTCTGTCCTCCCTCCTCCCACGTAAAGATATATGCAAACCCAGAACAGCTGGCAAAGGTGCCTTAAAGATTATGGCAGCGCTGGGTGCTGATTGTGTGCATCCAGCAACGTTCACTCCAATGAAGTTAATGGAAGTATCGTAAAACTAAATGGCGGTGCTGTAAATAACACAGAAAGTTAATAACGTGCACTGCAGGGAAGGATAATAAGATCAGAAGTGGCGTTTTCACTACAAGTGCTTTGCTAAGCTCTGGGAAAACGTAACCGGCTTAGTGGGCAGCTCATGAAATGCATTTTTCTTGTAAGCTGTTCTTTCACTCTGCGGGAAAAACTCAGGGCTTCTGCATTCCACCCGATTGGATTTTGTATTTCAAGTAGGTATTTGGTGACTGTTGGGGTTTTACAGCTTGGTCTCGCGCCCTTCCACAGCACCACCTTCTCCCTCAGATCCGCCCCCATCTCGTTTCTGGCCACTTGTCCTTGAAGGAGTAGAGCAATCCCGTAGGAGTGGTGGGGAGGGAGGGACAGGGCCTTCCTCCCAGATCCCTGAGGTCCATGGAGGTAGGTGATCTGCATCACCTGCCAGAGGACACGTGCACCAGACCGTCCCCAATGCTGGCTGCTGTGGCCAGAGCCCCAAAGGCAAGGCTTTGTGTTGAAACAGCCCGTGCCAGGAGCCCGCAGGCAGAGCCAGGCCGTGTACCGGCCTCTGAGATGGAGAAGGAGGAGGAGGAGGAGGGTGAGCTTCCCCCATGAAGCACCAGCAGGAGCTGCAGGCTGCTTTGGGAGAACCCACCTGCAGGGAAGGGCTCTGTTC